ATGTCTTTAGAATGATATCAATTATCCAAATACATATTTTTCGAGGAAAAGGTACCATCGTTGGTCTAATCCTAAAAGTTTATCTTTTAAAATTTTAATTTTTGCCAAGTTAATTCTCAACTCAAAATTCCAAGTTTATCACCTATGTCAAATTATTATTATTTTTTATTCGTGGCATCATATTGAATTGATTATCGAACCTCGTCACTTGAATTCTCGTCAATTTAACATTAAATCCACCTTAACTCTAGACATAATTGGTATATTGAAGAATGACCTAATTACCAAAGATGATTAATTTGATTCAATTAATAATATCCATTCCTATTAGATAGGAGACTTGTTAAATTAACTTAGCATTTTCTCTATTTTTTCTTTTTTAATCATTTTTATCTTTTTTTTTAGAGTTAGACAAAATATATCAAAATCACCATCCGTACTTAATAAATAAGAGATTCATTGGTTCGACATCACAAGCAAATCAAATCCATACATTAAAACAAATTTCACAACCTAAATATTTTTCGGGTTTTCTAACACATATAAAATTAGACATTATTACAAAACAACATAATAAAATACTTGAAAATGATAAGGAAACAAACCGAGTGGTTAATATAAAGTGACCAAAATGTCATTTGGAATTCCATTAGAAATGACCAAATTGACCTTTGTACGAGAAATGACTAAAATACCCTTAGGGTAAACTGACCACTCATACCTAGCAAATTACACTACCGCCCTTTGAAGCTTTATTCATTGTTGCCACCATCCATTGCTATCGTCCTATCACCTCTAGGTGTGTCACCGACTGAAGAAGGAGTGCCCGAAACTCCTCTCTCGTTTAGTCGCTGGTGGTGCTAGCCACGATGATCGAAGGAGGGAGATCAACGGTTGGCTAACGACTATCCTTCTTTTTTCTTCTCCAAACATGATTTTGGCCACGATGAGGAGTGGAGAGGACATCGATTAGGCTAGAAGGCCATGGGAAATGTTTCCACGATGGTTAGAAGGTCTAATTTGGTTTGAAATGGGAGATTTAATCGGGTAGTATCAAACAAATTGAGACCAATCTCCTCTTCGATTTGGATAATTTTCAATGGCATTGAGTCGAGATTTAGGAGAAAAATACTTCTAAGATGATAAGGGCCGCTTTTGAGGTGGTGGGAGTTGTTGGTTTGGCCAAAAAATGGAGGTTTGTCCGGGTTCATAAACAAGTCAAGGGTTCGGACTTCTCTTCTCTATTTCGATCTCCTCCGATGTCCTCTTCTCCTCTAACCAATCGATAACGATCGATGCTGGGATTGGCCTATCGATTTGTGATGGTGGATGGAGATGATATCGGCGGAGGATGATCGATGGGAGGAAGAAACTTTGACGAGTTTGACCCATAGGTTGACGGGTTGGTTGGTTCTCTTTATGGGTTATTTGACTTTTTTTTGGACAAGATGGTTGTTAGAAGGAAGTATGAATCGTGATAGCCCCTACATTTTTAAGAGAAGATGAATAGTTATAACTCTCTATATTTTTTTCGGATAAGGTTTTTTGTGGGAAAGGATGAGTAATGGAGGTTCGATTTTTTGTTGGAGAAGAAGAGTAATGGAGGCTAGAATTTTTAGGTAGAAAAAAGAGTGATGGAAGTTAGGATATTTTGTAGGGAAAATGCGTGATGGAGACTAGGGTTTTTAGGATAGGAGGAATAATTATGGCTCTCTCAAAAAATGAGGTGAAATGTATTTGTATAGGGATTTTTTGAGGTTTGAGATAAAATCAAATTTGTTTCTTCTTTTGTTAATTTCTTTCAATTTTGATGCATATGTTATTATTTTTCCTCAATTAGCTTCTTAATTAAAATTGTTTAATTCATGTTCCCTTGATTTCTTTCAATTTCACATCGATTAATTCTCAATCAAGGCCTTTGATTTTTTTTATTCCTTTTCAATTACATCCCTAATTGAAAGTCACTTAGTCCTCCATTTTCATATTATTTTCAATTGAATCCTAAATCATCTTCCTAATATTTTTTTATTATATAATTTTTTGATTTTCTCTCTCTCTCTCTCTCTTTAAAGATAATCTCTAAAATTAAACATAAAGCTGATAAAGATAAAAATAGATTAAAATAAAAATGAGAATAAAATAAAAGGTAAAATAAATGTAAAACAAGTAAATAAAAAAAAGAAAAATACAAAAAAAAATAAATATAACTAAAATTTTGGGTTATGATAGTTGAAATTAGACGATTTGGTTGATGCTTATTAACATGTTTGATGAATTATCAAACCGGATGTTGTTTCTTGGACTAAGAGGGTAGAAAGGCTAGGAGTTGCTTTCCATGAAATCTATGGAATGCCTTTTTCTTCATCTAAAAGTTTGGGCACTTCAAGTAGCACTCGGAAATGCGTTATGCATATTAAGATCTAAACAAAACTTGAAGAGGATGACAGATTATGCATGGAAGAAAGTAACTCATTTAGTAATGCCACGAGGAGGTACAACTGTCACAATACAACGTAAACTTGAAATTAGCACATAAGCTTGAATACCCTACTTTAGATACACATAAATGCTTGTAGATATTACAAGCAATGGTTGCACAAAGTTGTGGTTTCTAGTAATTGTCATCAACATTGACAATTTTCATGGGATGGTCTTCGTCAATAATGTATTGGTGTCATGTATATGGAAAAAAATGAATAAAAACATGTTATTTGGATTTGGGATAATGAAGTGGGATGGTGTTGCATTTACAAATAAATTTCTAATTATAAGCATTAGTTTATTAATAAGAATTTTTTTTTTCTAGATAGTAAAACTTTCACATGGGACTCATTTAGTCACGTGTCGTTCAATGATTGGTTGTTGTTAGTTTTAACGTGCCATGTCAAATGAACGAGTTAATGACGTTATAATAGAAAGTTTCAATTAATTTATAAATTTAAAGAAGGTCTTAATTAAAAAAAATTCAAACAATATAGGGATTGAATGTGGGATAAATCCTATCAAATTATTAAAAGGAAGTGAGTTTGGGCTTTGCAATTTGAATTTTCTCCTTGAAAACAACTTGGGATAGCCTTGCAATCAATACTAAAGTCTGAATCAAGTTTTCACACTTGGTTTAGGAGCTCTAATTAGACATCCGACTAAAAAAATATGACCTATTAAAGCTATGATGCCTATTTACCTTTTAAGGCTAGTAATCACCTAAGTTCTATTTTTGAATTTGTAAAAAAGAGAAATTCAAACTCAAGATTTTTTTTTTAAAAAGAGAAACAGTAATGCCAGTGGAGTTATAATTTATTAGCTACATAAGGTTCAAAATTGATATGTTTTAACTACACAAAAGGAATAATTCTCTCATATTACATAATAATAAATAAATAAACTCGAATCATCAACATTCAAAATTATTTTATTAAAAGAAACTATCGAATATATAATCATTAGATTATGCTAATCGTATAAGCAAAATGCATTCGTCAATGATTATTTAACCCTTATTTGAATTATATACCATCTTAATTGCATGCAAAATATAACCGGACAGCATCTTTATAGTTGTTGTTCCATCTTGTATTATGACTTTAGGAGCTTTTCTTATCTCCAACCGAATTAATTTGGTGTTTGGTATAGAAAAAATAAACGGTGTCCATGTGCAAGAGATTGTACCTTGAGCTGGTACAATTTGGCCTGGCCGAACGCGGTGTGCCAAACTCAATCAATGAGAAGAATCCATGTCGAATTCGGTAGCAATCAAATTCGATTTCGGCAAATCATTGAAAGTGCGTAATTTAACATTCTTATTCAACATTACTGTTTGGAGAGATTTAAATCCCCGAAACCGAACAGGTTCCTTAGAGCAGAAAGGAAGGGGACACGTTTCATATAAGCACTTAGCCACTTGTACAATTAGCAAGACTAAGGTTTGCATTTTTTTTATATTTTTTTTATGTTTATATATTTGGATATGCGTTGGTTCTCAGCAAGAAGTACCGCAAGAGTATTCCACGTCATGGATCATACATACATACATGCATATATACAACAAATTTTAATGGCCCACGCCAGTGACTCATGACATGAAATGGTCCTAAAAGGTTTAAAGATCCCAACAGCACAACGTTGACACTCGACAACAACCGAATCTAATTAATCTTCCCTGTCACTATCCAACTATGCTGAGCACCAGGTATACAACGTTGCTATGTTTGCCAAGGCCTCTGAATTAGTGACCGTTTCCATTTGCATTCTCTTAGTGTTTTTCTTTTTATTTTAATATATAAATTATAGAGTATTTAGATAAGATCCATTTCATCGTTATTTATCATCAAAATTCTACCGTTTTAACCATTCTAAATAATTATCAAAATAATCCTCTCAACCTATCAGCCAAGATTTCAGTATCGAAAACTATTTTTTTTAAAAAAAACTCAAGTAGCAGTAAAAAATTTGAATTTTGATTGTTCAATAAGGAATTTTTAATTTATTTTGATTTTTTTCAAGAAATAGAAAAAGAAAAAAACATGAAAAAATTAATAGAAAAATAAGAGATTTTATCAAATAAAAATAATATTAAATTAAAAATATTCAATATTGATTAAAAGATTAAATAATAATTTTTTAAATAAAAAGGACTAATTAATTTGTTTCTTGAAACTAAAGTTACTAATTTATAATTTGCTCAGTTTGTTTCTTCCGGATTTTTTTATTGGAAATAATCAAAACAAACAATTTTTGGAAAACCACTCAGTTTAGTTTTTAAAAATTTTGACAGCTAGTTATTGGATTTTATAGTTTCGAAAGCAAAAAAAAAAAAAAGAGGAAACATAAAGGTACCAAACGACCCTTAATAATTAATATAGCATGGACAGTACACTAACATTAACGGCGGAAGAGCTGGCGCGAAAAGCACAATCAGATCTCAATTTCTCACTCCGATAGAGGTACAGATCTCCAATCAAAATTCCCGTCTTCTTTTCCCAGTAAAATAAATTAAAAAAATGCAGAAAACGGCACAGTCGTGGTTCACGGGAGGCCCAAGCCTCAACGACCAAAAATCCTCATTCTCTTCCCCGTCTTTGCTGTCAGATTGGAACGCTTACGCCGCTTCTCAGGAATCCGATCCCTCCGCTCTAGGTTTCGATCTCGAAGCCGCCGTCCGTACCACCAGCGACAAAGTCTCCGGCACTTTCAACGTGTAATTTCCACTCCACCACTAACTCATAATTATCAATTTACATCCCTTTCTTCAAAATTCGATCAAATTTTGGTTCAATCTGGTGCCAGTGTTAGTTGACCGGGAACAATTAGGTTTTTGACTAACAAATCACAAGACCAAATGTTATTAGAGATTTGATTTAATAAATTGCATTGTTATGCTATTGAATTTTGAATTATTTTGACATTGCTTTCCTTTCGGTATATTTTTAGCTCCATTATGTTGTGCATTTAGCTGCTGAGCAATCCATCTTTGCGGCAGCGGTAATCACTAATAGAATTGATCGGCAAGATATCATTTTTTCTCAATTGTTCTGTGCTGAGAGGGCAATGCTGTTGGGGAAATGAGTATAAGTTTCTAATAAAAGGTAAAATTAATAATAAAAAAAGAAGGAAAACTATTTTCGAGCTTGATGAAATAGTCAGTAGGATTATTATTTTCCTGCAATCATGAATTGGAAAACGATTTTCAAGTTGGTCTATGGTTCTATTGGTATCTATGTACTCATGATTTATTACTACAGTAAATGCAAGAATGTTTATGTCTATGAAATTTTCAATCAATTTCAGAGTTTCGAAAGGGGTCAGGGATATACCTGGGAACTTTCATTCTGCCACTAGCAATGTTCCTTCTGGACAATCTTTAATGTATTTTGGTATACTACTTGCTGCTGGAGTGTTCTTCGTCTTTATTGCATTCACCATGTTCCTTCCTGTCATGGTCTTGGTGCCTCAGAAATTTGCAATCTGCTTTACTATTGGCTGTGCCTTAATAGTTGCTTCATTCTTTGCACTCAAAGGCCCTAAGAATCAGCTCGCCCACATGTCTTCTAAAGAGGTACATTTGATTTTTCTTTTTCCCTGATCAACGCTCGTGTTAGTTAATCTCTTATAGAAAATTTTGATTTATGTTTGCTTGCATGGGTTAAAATTGTCGAATGTTTCTTGTCAATGTGATATTTAGGCTCCCTCTTTTCTTTCTTATTTACAGAGGCTCCCTTTCACATTAGGGTTCATTGGTACCATGGTGGGAACTGTATATGTTTCTATGGTGCTTCACAGTTACATCCTTTCTGTGCTCTTCTCCTTGTTACAGGTACCAACTTCAAATTCCTGTATGTTACTATTAATTTCTCTGTAGTCTACTCGTGTGTGGCAAATAGCTCACCCAGGTATCCGATTAAGATTCTTTATCTGGTGTAAAACCTGAACTATGTGGTTTAGTTCATATTGCTGACCACCACAACTGGATACTTTGTCAATACTAGACATTCCTCGTGTCATTTAGCCTGTTACGTTTTTTTTTCCTTTCCTTTTTCTTTGTTGATTGTGAGGCATGGCAACTGAATTATCATGTTTCTACTAGTGGCGGTTTATGATTTATAGAACGTCATCCTCGGTAAGCTTGCTTATTTCTGTTAGGTGAATCTGCAATTTTTTAGATCCATTGCATTATAATGTGTATTGTGTGTTTCAATTACCTCAAATTATGCACCAGGGCAGCTTTGCCCTCTCAGATCTAGCACCGCCAAACTAGGGATATCAATTTCTTCCATTTTTTTTTTCCGTTGAACGAGTAATAATTCTTGAGATACTAATGCCTTTTTTAAAACTTTGCTAGGTCCTTGCTCTATCGTACTATGCCATTTCCTATTTCCCTGGAGGATCTACTGGACTGAAGTTTCTTTCTTCAACTCTTACCTCTTCAACACTAAGATGTTTTGGAAGGTGACATCCGTCCCTGGTTTTTCTCATATGGTTTTTTCCCGTCATCGATATGTATAGTATTCTTATTTTTTCTTCCGAATGAGAAACCGTCATTGATTGAAAGAACTAGAAAGGCCAGTGCCCATATAGAGTTGCATCTTCTTGGAAGATAGAAATGTTCATTAGAACACCAAGGAATAACATTCAGAGTTATATTTGATCATGAAACTCTTTTGACTCACTCCAGTTTTGGATGTCGATGACAATTTAGGTAACTAAAAGGATTGCCTCAACACCAGAGTTTGGTTTTTGATCCTCATGCGTGTATGAGAATGGTTCACTTTGGCGTCGGAAAAGCTTCGGGTATCATGATCTTATAAATTCTATGCAACAGAAGATTTTTCCGAATTGATGCAGAATCCAGTATAAAAGAGTGCTTGAGATTTTTAAGCGAATGAAGATTCTTGATGGTAATTCACAGCCGTACGTGCTTTCCTTTCGTTTTCTACTACGCATCAGTAAGTGTCAAACAAGTTGCTAAACCCAGGCACTCCCAATTCTCAACAAAATGCCTCAAAATTTTGGTGCAACATAATCGTCAATCTAGCAGCTGATTGAGCAGAACTCTCTCTAGCCTGACTTTTTTTGTCATTCTACAATGGAAATGGACAAACTTAAAAATGCTTGATGACTTGACGGATAAGATTTTCCTTTTTCCTTCTTCATTTTGGCCAAGCGATCTCCCAACCTAGTGTCTTTTCCCCTTGGCTAGTTTATCTTGGGATCCATATCACAACTTCAAGCGGTGCATATGAAGTTGAAAAAAATAATGATATGCTTAGTTGTATAGGCTTAGCACAAACTTGATGCGGCCTTCTGCTAAAAGTCTGTCCCTGTACAATATTGCTTCTTACGAATCAAAGCAAGACTCTAACTAAAGCAAAATCAAGAATAACAGAAATCAAAAGGCAAAGCAGTCCAAGACCAACGAAGCAAAAATCTAGCTAAGTGTTTTTACTCTCTACGTTTGTCTGGACCGTCTTTTTTCATTTTTTCCTGCAACTTTTCATAACGGTGCGACTCTTTTTCAGTAGCCATTTAACAGAACAATATAAAAAGGATTAAAAATACCTATTATCACAAGCCCAACAACCCGAGAGAAAAAGAAAACATACATTTTGGTGGCATGAATTTCGTGCCATTTTTCATGGCACAAAAGTTCGTGTGCTGTAGCACTACTCTTGTACAAAAGCCAATTCATACTATATTCCCATAATCATAAGCCACGTTAACTACCTTATCAGTTTCATTTCCACCTTCTCTACTCCCAGACTCGATCAAGCTCTTGCCAATGTATTTGGATTTTAACGTTCCTCCAATATGATTGGCTGAAGCACCAGCCTGAATCGCCTCTATGTACAAAATCTTCAACAAATTCCTAAAGTGACGCCGGAAGGTAGGAATTCGGGACATGGAAGCTACGATCCCCTGCAACCTGTTGAGGATTAAATCCATAATGAGTCCGGAGGATAACATTTACAGCTCAAATTCAGTTTACTTTATAGAGGATTCTGGTCTAGGCTGCTTTCATTAAAATAGCAAAAATCTAATGCAGTCTCACCCAAATGGTCCACAATTTGTAGAAAACAGAGAATCGGATAGTGCATGAATTATAAAAGTTATGTGCATATGCGACAGGAAAAGGTTATGCCCTATCTATGAGTTAGATACACAATTTAAAAATGTACCTTCTAATTATGGCTTGCAACTGTGCCCTTCTGACAGTGTCATTGGATGGAAATCCAGTTTCATCCCACTCCTCAGGCCTTTCATTTTCGCACTCAATAACCACCCTTTTCAGACAGATTTCTTCATTTTCATCTAATTGTAGCTTCTTTATTTGCTCTTTCATAATCAATAAAGGTTCAATCAACCACTCAAACACCTTTTCCCTTGGTCCATTATTTCTTGTCAACTCTATGTCATCAGCTGCACGATTCGAATACAATGACCATGACTAGAACTGTAAAATATCATGAATCAAGCGAAGGAGTAAGGAAAAACGGTTAGAAAAAACATACAGATCACCAACCCAGATGAGTCAGACTTTGCAGATGCAAGCAGGCACTGTAGTATGGACCAAGTAGGTAGTTTGATGCTTAACTTCTTACAATTACCCTTCACAAGGCATTCTTCAATTTCTTTGATATTTATCAGGCCGTCACGAAGGAGTATTCTACCATTTACCTCACAAGCTTTGAATAACCAATCCCATACCTATACCATCGAAGCTTAAACTCTAAAGTTCATGAGAAACAAACTTGGTTACAACTTGTATACTAAGAACTTCATACCTGCATTGCTTTATATTGATGGATTTCCCACTTCAGTGTTGACTTTTGTGAGATGAGTTTCATATCGAGTGAGTTTTCTCTTCTAGTCTTCAAGCTATTGTTCTCTCCTTGTTTAGGATTTGCATTTTTACGATATCTAGGCCTGGCTGTCACAGAGAAGTTTCAAAGTCAATTTGGTTTCAAGGAATCAAGTCTCCTACCCCTTCAACATTTATTGTTAAAGGAATCAAGTCCCTTACCCACTTTCTTAAATAAATCATCTGAGTAAAATTGTAAGATGGTGTTCTAAAATTTCTTGTTAAAAAGGAGAAGATAAAGTAGGAATAATCCTTCCCTGATATTAGTTATAGAAAATAAAAATTCAAGCCCTATACTGCACCTTGGCAGGCATGATCCTTCTCTCAAGTAGAGAAAATCATTCACATACTCATCAAATAATGAAACCACAGCCAAAATGTAGCCAAGCCCCAACAGAAGTGAGTCTTCCTGAAAATTATGGACCTCAATTCAGATAAAACTTCAAACATATATGAAAGAACCTACAACATCAATACCTTTTCCATAATCTAAACCAAACTGAGTGAAATGACTGGAATGGCAACTTGTGGCAGACCTGATGGACAATCACTCCACTGTAAAGTGCCAGGAAGAAGCTGGATATGATGGCACCTATTACAGCTCCTATAACTGCTAAAGGCCACAAGATGATGGCTAGACCAGCAAATGGAACACATACTGTCTCCAAGAATGGCCCTTCTCTACCAATCAAATCTTCCAATAGCCTTTTCCATCCTTGGAACAGCATGTATGGGCTTTTCCACAGAGCAACGGCTGTAATCAGAAGTACATCAACTGGCACGGCGATCAGGATCACCAACAAGCAACTTGGCAATTTTGGTAACCTTGGAAGGACAAAATCATATATCATCAACAGATAATGGGTTTTTTTTTTTTTTTTTAAAGAACTGTTTGTCAATATGTAACATTGAATCGGAAGGAAATTTTTTGTACTTCACATCCATCGGCTTCTCTTCTGGAGGGACCTTCTGACATAGTTCATCCATGTAAGAGAAGTAAGAATGGAAGCAAAAATCTGTAAAATCAGACACCACTGTGCAGCTACCTTTGATAGTGGACAAGCAACCATCCTGGTAACAGGAAATTCAAGCAGAACCCAAATCACAATAAAATCACTTTACTTAGTCTTATCCAAAGTATGTAGATAAATGGGCTATGTTTATCATGGCTTGCACCCTTTGGTTTTGAAGCTCAAACAGTGGTAGTATATATGTGTCTACATGGTTTGTGTATGCAAGATAAATTCATGGAGCAATGTAGATATGAGAGGCTGAAATATCTTACCTCAAAATAATATCAAATGCAAATATTTCCAAAAAATGCTGTTAAAATTGCTGGAAATGAATGAGAACGCGGAAGTTTAACCTGGTTTAAATAATTCAAAGCCAAATAATGGTAGCGAGAAAACAAAACGAACGTAGAAGGTAAAGAGGCCTGAATGTTCACTTCTGTCCCGAGGGACATTGGTCCAACGTACGTCTTAGAAAACTGGAGCGTTGTTTCAACAATCACTAGGTACACTAGGTAATGCTTTATGCCTTGGGTGGGATGTTCATGAAAAAGGCATAACCGAGGATTTCAGAATTTGGAGAAGTCTAACAGGATTGCATTTGAAAGCAAACCTTATAAAGTATTCCAGACGAAAAAAAGATACTGTCAAAGACTCTGGCTAATCCATACATTTGACACAAATACCCCAATGAAACAGCACACTAAATAGCACATCCATAACATTAGGGGTGAGACAGGAGAACATGCTCAGTACACTATTTCAGATATTAGAATCATGTTCTAAAATGCCTAGGAAACAACTAACAAGGACTTGCAGAAGCAAGAATTTATATTGGCTATCTCTTTAATAAAATCAGAACTTGTTCAAAGATCAAAGCGTATTGAACCATGATATATAATTATTCAGCTATTTACTTCATCCGACATCTCCATTTGCAATTTCAAATCCTATGTAAGTGAATCATAATTTAGTTGCAGTCATATGGTTCGGTTAAGCACAGAAAAGGCAGCAAGTTCCGCTAGAAAAATGGTGAATCCTTTATGTGATAATTCAAAAAGGAAAAAAAAAAGAAGGATAAGTTTGCTAGCAGTAAAAATTTGCTACTTCGAGAATAAATAACAAGAACCAGTCACTAGAGAATAGCGGACTTCTTGTCCGTGTATTCACAGCACCAAAGCATGCATGGGTTTCAGCCAGAACTATACTTGCAATCAAACATAAACACTGCAAAGACAGAGAGAAACTCACAGCAAAACAGTGGTAGAATTTGTCCTTAACATTCTCGCCAACAGCCTCAAAAGTTGCAAGAAGAGGAGCAAAAAACCCGTATCCAATGCCGCCCAAGAGGCTTCCAATAATTCCAATGACTGGCCAAAGAATCGAGGGCACAGGCAACAATAGAAGCACCACAATCTTCAGAACCAGCCCAAGCCTCTTGGTTCTGCAAATTGTAAACAAAAACCGAACCAAATTACAGAAACAAAAGTAAATATGAACTTCAAAATTTAAGGGAATCATATGTATATGCATATATACACATACCTTGCCACACAATAGTAAGTGCACAAGAAATGAGCAATCCAAAGGCCAATTATCACAGCTGAATTACCAATCACAGTAATTCCCACAACGATTGGACCAATTATCGCAGCTGTGTACAAACAGAATTTTAGCAACAGAGACTCATGACATAATAACCTACCCTCTAAGAAATTCTTCTCTGGAACCCATTAATAATGCAGCCCATTAATTATGTGGCAAAGAAAACAGAAAAAAAGCTTGATTAGATTAATGGGTTTTTCCTTTTGTCTCTCTAGCATTGCTAATTCAGAAGTATTTAATCTAGTTCATAGCCCAACATCTACATGATGTACCTTTGACAAGGCCAAGGGCAAGCAGCAAGAAGAAGAAGGGCAGGAAGGAGAGAAAGCTCCATAACGTAGCCAGAAACCCTACGGGAACCTTCATGGGCTGAATAAAGAGGAAAATTTATATAAATATGGATTAATTTACAGAATCGAGGAGCTGAGGGACTGAGCTGCTGCTTTGGAGAAGCCCAGTGGAAGAAGGTTGGGGGATGTGACTGAGAGGGTTACGTGGCTGGAGACGGTGGTCCAAAGAACACGTGGCGAGGGAGGAACTTAAAATAATCCGTGAAACTAAACCGATGGGACTGGGCGGCTACTTTCATCACGCCTTTTTGGCGGGAACCAACCGCCTTGTAGAGTGAAAATTATCTAAATGCAGAGTAAATTATAAATTAATCGTAGCTTTCTGAAAATGGATTAAAAAAAGTTTTTCTAGTTTCAAAAATAATTCATTAGATCCTATATTTTTAAATCTATTTTAAATTTAATCTTTTTTCTTTTCAATTTATTTTAAGAAATAAAAAATGAAAAACATAAACTAAAATATAAAAAAATTAAATAAATAAAATATATTTTAGAACAAAGTAATATTAAATTAATAATGATTAACATCATTAAAAAAACTAATTAATTAATTTTTAAAACAAAAAAATTATTTAATTTATTTTGTAAAACTTGAAAGACTGATTCATAATTTACTCTCTAAATCCAAAACGTAAACCATTTTTTTCGTTGGTACTTTAGTCCTTGGTTGGCTTAAATATATATATATATATATATATATATATATATATATATATTGAAAAGAAAAAGAAAACTGGAAAGAGATAACTTTTTTTATTCAATAAAGCAAAATTAACAATCATTATCAATGTGGTTTTGAAAGATTTTGACAACTGATTGAATTTGAAGATATTTAATTAGTAAAATTAATTTGAAAACATGCAAATGATTTCTTTGCCTTGACATAATCATGATATTAAGGAGACGTGAACACCAATGTATACCTGAATATGAAGACAATCAATTTAAATTTTCATGTTTGGTAAAATTATTTTTTTTCTAAATTAATACTTTTATTTCATTGTAAAATAAAAATAATTAAGTTGTTGTGAGATCAAACTCTTCGTTGCATATGAGGTTTTGTTGGCCCTTCTTTCTTTTTCACAAATTAATTCCTGCACGCAAGAGTTAACTAAATAAAAAAAATTTAATAACAAAAATCATAAATTTAAATGAAAAAATAATATTATTTTCCTTCGATTTTAGTGGTGCCGGATCAAACTAGTTTTAACTATTTTTGTTGTATAGTCATTTATCGGCAATTATACTCCCATCTCGTGCATGAAAATGGGACTCACGGGTAATTTTTATAAGATTTTATACTCACGTGACAGGGAGAAATATATAATAATAATAATAATAATTTCTCAAACCAAAGCTATGATTTTGCTGGCAAAGGTTAGGTTATTAATAGAGATTTATAACAATTCTTTTTGCTCAACCATGTGCCTTTTTTATCATAAAAAAAAAAAATCTTAGAAGTAATAAATGTATATTTCAATGTTACTAAGAAGAGTCTATTAGAAGAAATTTTATAATACTTCCTTGAATATTATATAATTTCTCATACGATGCTCTAGGTCTAGATTGTGTTTACCAAATTAGAAGAGCAGCCATAAATTAAGTTGCTTGATAATCATCGAATCAATCAATTTATACCTTTATAAATGACGTCTTGGATTCACCATTTATGTCCGGACAATTGCTGAAGGTTCATTTCTTCCAAACTTCATCTCATAAATGCAGCATTTTATATATATATTCACCAGAACTCTTGTTTGTTAGATAATAATGATTCAATGCATGAGAACCTGGAATATAAGGAGATGTTAATCAATATCTATCTCGAGTCTAGGTGAGATGGGGTTTAAATATTTCAACCTTTATCCCTTAAAGTAAATATAGAAATAATTATTTTACTCACAAATGATCCAATAATGGTTGGATTACTCAAGCTAGGAAAGCCTTGTAACAAGGAAAAAAAAAAATTGAAAAAATGAGCCAAGTTAGAAGTTAGAAGCATGTTTGACCAAAAATGATTTGAAGTATATTTATAAATATATTTTCAAAGAATGATGATAGTATAAATTAGAATTCATAAATTAATTTTTAAAGAATGATGGCAGTAATATACCATAGTCTCTTATTAAGCTTGAAGTGCCAAGAGAATATCATACTCCATAATCCTCCAAAATTAATGAAGCTGTAATTAGCTAGGTCTCCCAGTAATTACTTCAGAAAGTTTAGATTGACTTAGTTCAATCGGATTTCCACTACAGAATGAAGCTTGGCAAATATTGATGCTTTTACTCTTTAAAAACCATGTATGCAGAAGTTACCTTTTAATGGAGAAGTTGTTCAAAATATTTGTCTATGAAGAGGGTGAGTCTCTTTTATTTCATTATGGCATCTGCAAGGACATATACTTAATGGAAGGAGTGTTCCTTAGTTTAATGGAAATAAATACCAAGTTCTGGACCTCGAATTCTAATGAAGCTCATACCTAATTTCTTCCCTTTAAGTGTCTGTTTGGTAATTAGGAATGAAGCACCAAGAATGAGAATTCATATTTCATTTCTTGATGATGAGACGTTTGGTAATCGAAATGATATGAGAATGGGAATAAAAATAGGGAATAGGAATAAACATTTTCTATGATTTCATTACTTTTGGAGACGTAGGTTTAAGTGGGAATGACAACGTGGGAATGAAAAAAAAAAAAGACACTATTTTTTTGTCTTAAAAAGATCCTTAGCTTTTAATCAATATTACATCTATACCACTATAAATACTCGTATAATAATACCTAATTAGCCACTAAACTTACAAACTCATCTCTCTCGCAGGTAAGTGTAGTGCTTTTCCCTTATCTCTCTGTTTTTTTTTTCTATCTTGAAACAAATCTAAATTGATATTGTTTCTTATTCCCTCTAATCATATTTAGGTAGCCACAAAAATTGCAACATTATCTCTTTCGCTCAACAGGTAATCTCTCTCTCTCTCTCTCTCTTTTTCTTGCTCAACAGCTTAATCTTTCTTTTCCTGTAATATTATTTTTTCTTCTTTGTTGATAATTTCATATTTTTCATTGGCGTTAGATAAATGGGCAAGTGATATATAGGATTTTTAGGATTTGTGGTAGAGATAATTGATGTATGAGGGAAAGTATGACGAGAGAACATGGCAGTGAGAGGAATCGAGTGACGAAGGAAAGTCGAAGGGAAGGCATACCCCTTAAGTCCCACATATCCTTCTTGAACAACACTTAGGCATAAGGTTACCTTTCTAACTGGGGATGATTGAATATTGGGTTCGAGTTGCCTTTAAAACTCAAACAACGTTTACTCTAATTGATAAAAAATAGATAGTTGTCTCAACAATAGATAGAAATAGGAGATTTCACCTTATTATTGATAGATTCCCTCTCTATCCATTCCTACTCTTTTGATCGGATCGACAACACACCCCCACTTCAAGCACACCTCTATATTGATCGAATCACTCTTAAGGGTCTAGTCGGTGGAACCGATGAACCACGTAAGTTGGTTAGATGTGTGGGGTAGAGGGCTCATAGTACCACCTTTTCTTGATCCGACCTTTTCTTCGCCTCGGTAGTGTTACTAAAGATTGAATTTATCACATACATAAAATTACAGCCTTGGGTTATGTTGTAATAATATCAAGTAGTTATGCTTGAAATATCAAGCAACTAGCCTTAGTGTTGTGATGATCATTGAGCACCTCTTTCATTCAATTATTCACAATAAAGCTATGCTAGAACGTACTCGTTTTCCGATTGTGTTTACATTATCTTTCATAAGTATCCTTACCGGAATCAAGGCCTTGGAGCTGATCATTTCATGCTTTCCTACCATGATTGGGTAAGAAATTAACTATAGGTCTTTTCACTAATTACGTGATTCGTATTTGCTATAAGATTATTGATCCATAATTTTTGTTGGTAATAGGGGCCTCGTGTAACTTGGTATGTTCGTCAACTCTACTATAATTCCATCGGGGTCCTATGCAATGTAAATATCTCAAAGTATTTTAATCCAAAAAAGATGCATCATTTCTTGAGATCAATCTAAAAACGATGGAAATCACGGGCCTAACGGATGGCTTGCCCCTATCTAACCGAACAGTTTTAGCATTCTTTGCGGGTAAAATGCATGGTAAACTCGAGCTAGCACTTTTTCAGCATTGGATGGGAAATAAAAAAAGATGTTTAAGTTTACGAGCACTCTCATAGGGAATTTTATATCATGAAATGATGAAGAAGAGCAAATATTGCATTTACCCTAGTGGACATGAAGTTGCTTGGTCCAAGAATTACTAAGGTGATTTATGCGGAATGTGTTCTAGTTTTAATATCGTAACATTACATTTTTCCTTTTAGTGATGTTCTTAATTGGGATTTCTTCGCCATTCAAGTTTCGGTTAGTGAAATACCAAACTCGAAGGGGAATACTTAAAGATCAATATTTAAGAATGCGAGGAGAAAGTAAAGCCGGTGCAAAGACATTTTATGGTGAATGATCCTTCCAAGAGATATGATGTCTTCCATATGATCATTCATTCAATCCGGCTTCGAAGATTGAATGTATGATTCACTCGGTCGATTAACAATAGTTAACTAACTATAATTGAGTCTAGTTCAATTTTTGATCCGAATTTGATTTATGAGCTAGAGGAACCTTTCCCAACCTTTTATAGAAATCTTTTATGCTAAATGTGCTCATTGATATGAACAAGTTGATCGACGTTTACGAAAATCTATGTCTTATTTCATATGTATGAACCTTGAGTGTAAAGAAAGTTTGTGGTAATAGCTATCTTTATTCAAGAAATACTTACAATACTTATACTAGTGTTTGTATGTTATTACAAGAAACTAATATCTAGCTAATTGTAGCTCATCATTATAAGGATTATAGAGAATATTCATAAGAAGGGAAGTAAATGATGTAGCTTCATTTTTGAGTTTTGAAGCTACAGTTTTCAATTTTGAGGGTTGACCAAATCTTTTGCATTTTA